GTTGTTTCTCAGGAGTTTCTGGTTCTTGAATTGAAGCTTTTTGATGACTCCTCAGTTGGCCATCAGTGCTTCTCCTCTTAGGACTGGGGCCAGAGTATTCAGCAAGTAGTAGTGCAGTGATAAGTGTTACCCCCGGTACTTTCTTTATGAGAAGTGGACAAATGGATTGAAAATGGTGTGATGTTTGTTTACAGTCTCAGTTATGCTCTTTTCTAATGTCTAAATGTTTTGAAACAACAGTTGTCTATTAATTCCTCTCCAGTTTTACATTCCAAAGCGTGCATAAAGGGTGCACAAATGATTTTCTGTATGATTATCTGGGTGAACTTCTCACAGGTTTCAGCTGTTAGAAAAACAATACTGTTTTATTACTTACTGAATATTACGCTTTTGGTGCTATAAAACTGGATAAAATTGATAGCACACTTTAAGATATTTGTATAAAATGGCATCCATTAGCTTTTGTGATTTTTTTTTTAATTATTTTTATTTTTAATTAATGCAGAGGCAAGACAAATGGGGGAGTTACATTTTGCTCTGGTTACAACAGTAACAACATACTAAAGCTAAATCTGCCAACCAAAGATATGTAGGCAGCTTCACTGAAAACAGTAGACTTGCATAACTGTGACTGCATCAGCAATTACTGCTGGAACGTGTCAGAAAAGGGTAAGCTCAGGAAAAAAAGAAAACAAGCTTCCTATCCAGTCTGGATCTAAGTTATGGAGAGGTCCCCTTCAATTAATTTTTAACTGTGGCTTTTAGTTCATTTAAGAGTCAGTTGAAGATATAGGTTGGACAGAGGGGTGGAGGGGGGCATTTTGATATGGGAGAGAGAATAAAAAGCTGCAGAACCCCATGAATACTGGGTGGGTTTTTGTAGTTTTGATAAACTTAGGCGATTTTTGTACAGAATCACTTTAAAGGATGGAAGCTGAACTAGGAAAGGGATAAAAATAAAATAAAAAATACTGTTCTTTGGTGGAGAAGCTTCTAGAGAAAAACTTCTAGTTGCAGTATCTTTTTTACCCCTGACCTGTGTCCATTTCATTTTCATCAGTGTATTCACCATGGTGCAGGGTTTTTCCAATAGATGACATGAATTCTTCTGATGTGTCATAGGCAGATGAATGGGGGAGGAGTGGAGGGGTGTTGCAAAGAGTTGTGGCTTGTGGGAAGGTTGATTTCCTAGTAATGCAATGCAGATCAGTATGTCGTATCTCTGCAGGTTCTACTGTGCTAAGGCTTCATTCCTTATGGAAAGCAAACCTAGGAGAACTTTCTGAACATCCTTGACTGAAGCTTTCCTTCAGGAACTTGAGCTTGGAGCATTCCAGAGCATATCGAGTGTTGCAGCCCATGTCTATCCTTAGCTGACTTTGCAAGCCTACAGGACTCTGGAAAATAAAGGCATTTTTAGAGTTGGGAGTCGATGTGCAATAAACAAAGCACCAAATTTTACATTACAGCTTTTGTTGTTATGAAACAGCCTTGTAAATTCACTTTTGTAGTCTTGTGACACATACTTAACCCCTAGATGCAATAGCTGCCTCCATAGAATCCAGTTCACCAAATCACAGACACTGTGAACTTGAAATGCTGTGGCTGAATCTGAGCCAAAAGATTTAGGTAGTCTATCTAAAAAGCTGAGCATACTAAGAAAAACAAAATGCAGTAATTAGTGCATTGTGATTTTTCTTTCTGCCTGAAGACTGTGAGGTAAGCTTCTGGTGGCTTTGAGAAGTTCTGGGAGTTATGGTGATTGTTTCTGAGGAGCTTCCAAACATGGCTGAGAACATCATGCAGTACTGAACTCTGGGAGGCTTCTGCTTGTGGCTGATGATGCTCATTTCCCAAAGGCTTGAGTCAGATGTTTTGGAACTGTGTTAGACAAGGCATGGTTGTTTCCTGGGCTGCTAGCTATGTGATGCTCCCTCAGAGTTCATGTTACGCAGTTACTGGATCCTGAATTGCTGGAGTCTTGGTTTATCCGTATCGTTTTACTGGTATTAGTTTAGCCTGAGGCTTTTCTTTCTTTCCTAAGGAAGTTTCGCTACAAGAATAAGAAGGAAATCTCCTTGCTCTCTTCTGATGTCTGGCCTGAGGTCGCTCGGTGAACCAGCAAGTGTTATTATTAAGGAGGTTGTATTAGAGATCTGACAGTTTTACAGACACCCATTTACCTGTAAGAAACCAAGACAATGCTCTCACGTGCTTTTTACAATCAAATGCTGAAGAGGTGCAGTTAGGTTTCTTAACTGCGCTTTTTGGCTCTGTGAGATGACTTGTATTAGTTTTATTGCTTAGCTGTCTTTGATTTTGAGATTTTTTGCCCCCCACTTATGTCACTACCAGAAAGTGATTGAAATCTAACACCCACCGTTGTTTGAATCTGAATTGTAACTTATCTCTTTCATTATACGCATAGCTAAATAAATAATGGAAAAGGAAACAGTATCCTGGTTTTAGTAGTGTAAAGAGCAGTGTGTAAGGTGAACCTGAAGTACCTCTTGCCTAATGAGGTGGAGTATCGGCGTGCTCTGTACCATAGCTAAGCGTGTGGTTTGGATGAAGATTTTACTGCAGATAAATCCACATGCAGTAACTGTGACTGGGAACCTTCTCTAAGGCATTTCTCCCTGAAGCACTGTTTAAGTTTTTTCTTTGAATTTTGACAAATTCCGTCATTCTGAACTCAACCTGTGCAATCAAGCTCTGCAAAGGATGCATGGGTGTGAGCAGGTAAATGTAGCTGTCCCATCTTTTGTCTCAGAGTGGACAAAAAGGAATTTTCCAACCACCAGTTGCTTGTAGCTTCTTGAAAAGATGTCACCGCTTGTGTCCGCTTTGGGCAGCGCTGTTACATTAATGCTTGACTGCTAATACACATGTGAAGGGCTGTGACTGCAGTGAGCACCTTTCAGGGCAGATTTCAGAGCCCTTGGAATATGTGTAAGCAGACATGCTGACACCTTCATAGGTTACTTCTGGGCAGTGAATCACATAAGCAGAAGTGAGCTGTTCGCTGGGCAGCAATGCAGTAAACTTGGAAAAAGAGCAGCTCGCCTCCAACCTACTGCAGGAGTGACTGAAGTGGGTTCTGGAAGGAAGGGTGGGAATCATCAGTGACCTTCATGGTACTTTCATTGTTATCTGTTTGGGTTTGTCAATGCCATGGGCCAAACAGGGAAGACAAGGTGTCTTAGGAGGAGTAAGCTCTAGGATGGGGGGTCCAGAGCAATAGGCTGGGGAATAAAAACCTGATGGAGGAAATGAGCAAGAGGAAATAGGGTGAAGGTGGACAGGCATTGTAAGATGGGAAGCTGTGGTGATATTAGGAGACTAAATGAGCCCTGATAACAATGTCACAAAGCAGGAGGAAGGCGATGGCTCTGCAGTGCTCAGCAGTGCCTGCAGGAAGTGATGTGTGACACGTGAGTTAAAGCTACAGCAGTGATCATTCCCTGCTAAAAAGGAGGCAATTAAGTAAGCGGGAAGGGCGTTCTGGAAATGCAGAGGAAAGAGAAACAGGGATGCTATGATTACGGAGAGATCTGCTCCATCCACCCCTTATAGCGATCACATAAATAGAAGAAGAAAACTCTTTACGTGTTCAGGGAGCAAAGGGCAGGAGAGGAAATCTGTCATAAGCCTGGATAGAACTGGGGAATGAACAGTGGGACGGGCAGCAGAGTGCCTCAGCCACTTGGTTCAGTGTGATGGAGCCGAGTGTAGGCAGGCAGCAAGAAGCAGGTCTTGTGGAAAACTAACAAACGTGCGTGTGTGTATTTTAGCCTCGGGACGTATTGTGTGCAGAGATATTCCATCAACACTAAGTGGCTCCCACATAGCTTTGCTCATGGATGCTGTTCAAAACAAGCTGTGTGCATTCTTGCTCAGCGAGGCTTGAAAACACAGCGGATTTTGTTTGCATGCATTGGGCAGGGGGGATTCTGAGAGCAAAGCAAAAGAGCGCCTTTGACAGCGATAGATATAGATTGCTTTGTTTCCAGCTATTTAACTGTTGCTGTCATGAGCTGCGCTGCCTGCTTGAAACTTTACCAACTGTGTGAGCAGCTCCGATTAGAAAACAAACAAACAAAACCTTTCAGAGGCATTTTTTGTTTCTTAGTTGTGCTGATGAGGCACCTGCCAATGGAGATGACACGAACGGGTCTCTGAATGCTTAAAAGCAGTCACTGCCTTGTGTGCACTGCTTTGACTGCCAGCTGCAAAATGAGAGCCGCTTCTGGAAAGGCTGAGCTGTGCTCATGTTAGGGAATGGCTTTCTTAAAGTGTCTCCTGGAGTGGAGGAATTTCCTTTGGTGGATGACAGTAATGAGCTCCTTTTTTAACCCTCTCAGGAGCTCATTCTAACTACGTGGTTAAAGAACCACCATTTACTTTGTTTCCTCCTTCAGAGCTGTAGGATGTCTACTTGTGTCCTGTCCACGTCTCTAACAAAGCTTCCACGTGTAAAACTTGGCCTCCCAGATATGCAGTGCTAGCGTGAGAGAAGTTGGCACTGAAAAGACTTTGTTCTTTAGGTGGGTAACAGCCCACATCTCCACAGTGCTGCCGAGCACCCTGCCTGCTCTGCTGCTCTGTGATGCTGAGCAGGGAAGCTGTCTCCTTTCCCTTGCGAGTGTCTTGGAGTTTGATGGTACAGCCATGACTGGCTCAGCCCGACCTTTTGTGCAGAGAGAAGGGAGCCTCCAGCTCCTACCTTGTGGGAACTGGGAGCTGTCTGAACACAGGGCGCATTTCACATCCTTCTGAGTTAGACGAGAACGTGTACCCACGTGGGCCTTACTCTCCGTGTGTTTGACGTTACAGCCCCGTGTTTGTGCTGGGCAGGGGCAAGCGCGGGGTCCCGTGGAAGCTGAGATAATTAAACGGAAGGTGAGAGGGACAGGTGCTTTCGTGCCACTCGGTGCTGTCTTCCACTCGAGGTTCCGCACATCCAACTACCGCTTCCTAAGAGACGTTAAGACCGCGAGATGAAAATTTGTGCCGCTGTCCGTGCTGGCGGTACGCGGACCCTGGGACAAGGCGTTTCTCTTCGGTACCCCCGTTCGAGGGCAGGAAGGTACCGGGCTCTTGCCGCCCCACCGGCGCGGCGCTGGCTGAGCGGAGCGGCGGCGCCCAACGCAGCGGCCCGGAGCGGCTCTTTGCTGCGGGGGCGGCGGCTCCCGCTCGCGGCACCTCAGCCCGCGGGGCGGGACGGCGGCGCGGGCGCGGTCGGGATTGGCTGGCGCCACCCGGAGTGGCGGCGGAGCGGGCCAGCCGGGGCGGGGGCGGGCGGGCGGTACCCCCCGCGGCGGGAGCGGCCCGCGGCGGCGGCGGGCCGGCCGGCAGGGGCGGGCGCGGGGCTGCTGGCGCCGCGCAGTGCCCGCATCCCGGGCAGCCGCGCCGCGCCGCCCCGCTCCGCCGCCGCCATGGGCCGCGGGGCCGCCCCGCTCCGCCGTCTGCTGCTGTCGCTTCTACTTCTGCCCGGCCCGGGGCTGGCGGCCGGGGAGCCGGAGACGGCGGAGGAGCAGATGGAGTACCGCGACCCCTGCAAAGCCGGTAGGGGGGCGGGCGGGAGGGCCGCAACTCCGCCAGAAGTTTGGCAGTGGGTGCACGCGGCGGGACAGGTGGTCGGCCGGCCGCGCGCCGGGCTCACCTGGCCGCCCGGGGCTCCCGTCCCCGCCGCTCTCCGAAGCCGGGCGCCGAGCGGGGGGAACGGCGCTTGCTGTCGCGGCTGCTGCCGGCCGTGCCTCGCCGCTCCGCTGTCCGCGAGCTGCAGCTCCGCGCGTGGGGCGCGCGTGCATTTGTTAGAAAACGACGACGCGTTCGTCTCTTCTCCTCCCTCACCCAGCTGTCACCTGCTGCTCCCAAACCAGAGCTTTCCTGAAACGCTAGGGAAATGCCCAACGGGGCTTTGCGGTTTTTTTTTTTCTCCCATACGAGCGTTTTCTGTGCATTTTTGCAGCGCGTTGGCGGCTGTTTCAACTTGTCCCGCTGTACGGCTCTCTTCCCCGAGTTCTGGTGCGCGCCCCGAAGAGGCCGGACCGCACCAGCGCTTCGCGGGCTGCTCCCATCCCGCAGCTCTGCCTCCATCCCGCAGCTCTGCCTGCCGCCGCTCGGGCTCTCCTGGCGCTCCCCGCTCACGGGGAGGGGAAGGAGGATCAGAGTCGGTGAAAGCAGCCCCAGCTCCGGCTTCAGACATCAGCCAAACCTCCCCGCCTATCTGCTTGTGTCAGATTTACTGTCTCCTCTCTAGCAAGGCTCCTCTTGCTGCCTTCGTTGTTCTCTCAGAGTTTTTTCATTCCTGCATTGGATTGTGTCGGGTTGTTTCTGAGTGCATGCTAACTCGTCTTAAACGTTTTGATTTCTTCAAGATCTTCTGTCGTCACTTGCATCTCAGTTTGCAGGGAATATCGACTCAGATTTTCTCTTTGGGAAACTGGGTCATGCTCTTCATGTGATCGTTATTCCTTTTGGTTCTGGCAATCAGCTGATGTTTCGATCTTGTGAATGACTTGTCTGCTAGGAAATCCGTAATCAATATCTTGTTAACCGTACTCCATTTACAGATAACTTTGTGCAAAGTCTTGTTTTCTTGGTGCTATAGGAGGGACTTTCTTCACGTGCAGTGTTCCCGGTCCCTAGGCTTTCACTTAATGACAGCTTCCCTTGTTGCCAGCCGTCTTCTGACTGCTTTCAGGGTGTCTGTAGCTCTGTCTGCTCACACAGATGAACTCCATCAATACAACATCTGTCAGAGTTCCTCTCTCTGTTCTGTATTGCAGATTGTTTAGCTGGCCTTGTGTGTAGGATTGTGTTATGAGTGGAGTGTTTTATTCCAAAATTTTATCTGCAGACTGTTGGTTGCAGAAAATGTTCCCTTGATCAGTAAGCCATTTGTGATATGTGTATCTATTTATTCATTATGAGACCTAGTCCACCCATACATGCTTTTACTGGCTCTGTGTCTGCCTCTTATTTGGTAATGAATTCACCTCTCTTTCTTTCCAGAAAAGCTAGGTTTTACTGATATGGCTGTGATTCAGACCTGGAGACGTGAAGTTTAATTAACTTACCAACATCATTCAGGGAACCTGTGGCAGAAAAAGAGAAAAAAAATCAACCTGTTAATTACCTGCCTCTGCTGCAGGTCCTTTCCTTTTCCTGCAGCTCCCTCATTTCCAGGCTCTCCACCTCTCACTTCTGCTCGTACACAGAGCCTGCACTGAAGCCTCCCTTCATCATACATCATCACCTCCTCTTGTGATCGGCGTATAAACCTGGTGTGTATTATTCCTGTCAGTCCTCTTCAGTCAGGATCAATTCTCATTTCTCAGTATTTGTCTCTAATACTTTTCTAGTGTCTTTCCAACAGAAGAGAATGAGCGGACAAGACCTCTGGAGATCACACAGTCCTCTTCTTGAGTTCAAGACCAGGCTGGTGTTCGTGACAGTGCTGGCAAACGTCTGTCTTTGGTGGATGCTCTCAACCAACCCAGACCACCACTGTTTCGGCTTTGCTGTTGCCTAACCTGGGGCTCCAGGTACTGCACTTCAAGTCTGCCTTTCCCACCCAGACCTTATGGGTGCAGAGAACAGTACTTTCTTGAAGCCTTTTTCACTCGTGGGCTGGGCTTATTATTGTGTTTCTCATGTCCCAGTCTACTTTTCTGTAGGCAGCATGACTCTTCCAGTCTGTCCTGATATGCTGTGTTTTCTGGCTCTCTAAGCCATCTTTTCTCCATGTGAGCCATCTCAGTCTAAACTGAAGTGCAGAGACCTTAGGCTGCCAGACATTTCATGTGCCTGTCTCTATGCACTGAGCAGATCCAGTTTTCGAAGTCTACCCAAAACCAAGGCAGGCAGGACTTTTGCCACTTGGAATTGTTAGATATCATCCCTCCTCCTCTCCTTGCTGTTCATTCACATGCTTCTTCCTCTTCCAGTAATAGACTTTTAACAGACCTAAGCAGGGGTTCTGCGCTGTAAACATCATCCCGAAGTATTGAAGTCCAACCAAAGTTACTGAACTGCACCTCTGTAAATGAGACTGCACATGAGAATGTGGTGAAGACACTTCTAACAGAGTTGGCCCTCTAAGTTGGGCTATACAGGGGCAATTGTCTGATGATTATATAGGAAATCTGTCAAGCTCTGTTTCTGATGTGCTGTGACATTGACAAGTCTATTTAATTTCCTTGAGCCTGAGTTTCTCCGCAAGTGAGGCGCCATCAAGGTTTGCCTAGAAGTATGACTAGCAAGAGGGCAGTGATTGCAGATCCTGCTGTGAACAGCTCAGATGCTATACACTTTATGAGGGCAAGTTTTTGGTTGTCTTTGAAGCTGGCACTGTGAGATCTGTGGTGGTATTCTCACTGTCACTGCACTTACAGCCTCCTGTGTATGGTTCTGTGGCTGCAGATTCCATGCAGCCTCTAGCCCATTGCAAAGACAGAGGCAGCTCCTCTAATTAAATGTTTTCTGAAGCTGTTAAAGCTATAGTGCTGTACTTCACTTCTGCAGGCTAATGGCTGTGACCTGAAGGACGTGATGGGTTCAGATCTGGCAGGTGAAAGCTTGTCAATTCCTTACCCTGCAGCTCATGCCCTGAGGGTGAGTGCAGGCTGTTGATGGTTCATCTGCTAGGCCCTCAGTGAAAAACCTGGCACAAGTTTCCCTCTGTTGCACTAGCTAAGGGTATGATAATATCTAACAGCAAGGTGAGACACAGCAGCACAGTGCAGTAACCTGTGAAGTCACTGCAACAACTGGATACAAGTGTAAATGTGTCCAGTCACCAGGACTCAGCTGACAATAACTCCACTGCCACTTAGTCTCTAATTCCAGCCATCCTCTGTTTCCTTTTCATAATCTATGGCTGCTTTCTTGCTTTTTGGTAGGGTAGGAAATGTCTGAATGAATGGTAAAGGGAGAACTGAGGCAGGGCTGCACAGTTGGTTTGGGTTGCCAAGGGAGATCACAGTGCTGACTCTGCTAGGTGGTTTTTGCTGAGTGTTGTGTCACGTCCCTGGAGCTTTTCAAAGGGAATGGTACAAAGGTTCCCTCTCAGATAGGCTCTGTAATAGGTAGAAAAATGTCATAAGCCTGACCTGTGCTTACGATAGATCTGCTGCTCACAGAGTACAGCTGAAGATGTAGGTTCATAGAACACCTGAGTTGAATGGGACCCACGGGGATCACCGAGTCCAACCCCTGGCTCCACTCCACACAGGACCACCACCTAAAATTCAAACTGATGTCTGAGAGCAGTGTCCAAACACTCCTCAAACTTCAGCACTCAGGCTGTGCCCACTGCCCTGTGCAGCCCGTTCCATGCCCACCGCCCTCTGGTGCAGACCCTGTCCCTACCCCCAGCTGCCTCCCCTGACGCAGCTCCATGCCGTTCCCTCGGGCCCCCAGCTGTCACACAGAGCAGAGCTCAGCGCTGCCCTCCACTCCCTGTCAGGAGCTGCAGCCACCAGGAGGGCACTTCCCATTCTCCTCATGGCTGAGTAAACCAAGCCTGGCACAAGGTGGCTGCAAAACAGGAAGACAGCACCAGAATATTGAGTTCATCCCTGAGGATTTTGCAAAGTGCTGGGGATGTGAGCTCAGAGGAAGGGGAAGAACAGAGGCTATAGGTGTGGAGGGACTATTGGAGAGTATAACAGTAGCCTTATCTTCTGTTTATCTTTATCACTTGAAAAGCTGTTAGAAAAGAAATCTGGCAGTGATAGAGCAACTCTTCCTGCCAAACCATTGCCCTTTCAAGGATGGATGCTGTTTGCCCAGTCATGGGCTAGCACTGTGTATATCTCTTCCTGCTGGTTTGATCCACCAGATTCTAAACATCCCACAACAGAGGTCTTAAGCCTTGACTGAGTGCTGTTCAGAGTGAACTTCCCACAGGGACATGCAAATTGTGCTTTGCTTTTGTTCTGCTCCTCCTAGCTCTCCCTCTGTAAAGGCAGTGCCTTTTGTCCTGGAGGCAGTAGTGAATTTCACTTGAGTTGTGGTATAAAACTCAGAAGTCACATGCAGACATTTCTTTGGGGAGCTGAGCAGGTTACAGTTAGGAAAGCTGTGGGGGGGCTAATCGAATTGGAAGGAGGAGTTGGGAATCCGTGAAGTCCAGTTTTCATGAATATTACTTGGGTTTTGAGTTTTCTCCATTGAAGCACAGATCCATCGCATAAGCAGGGAAGCTTGAAAGTTCTTTGCAGGTGACCCAATGAATCCAGCTCACCCTGGGAGGGCCTGCAGTGGCAGACACGAGAATGAGCCTGATTCTTGATCGGGGCTTTTCTGCATTCTTGCAAGACGTCCTTTTTTGGGGGGCAATGGTTTGAGCACTGGCAGAGTATTTTCTAACCTGCCCT